AACAAACAAACAAACAAACACCCCAACAAACACCCCAACAAACAAACAAACAAACAAACAAACAAAATAAAACGGACGGACAGACAGACAGACAGACAGACAGACAGACAGACAGACAGACAGACAGACAGACAGACAGACAGACAGACAGACAGACAAACAAACAAACAAACAAACAAACAAACAAACAAACAAAAACATGCCACTGAAAGCTGGTGCCCCTTGTGCCCCAATTAAGCTACGCCACGCTACGCCACGCTACACCACTGCCTTCAGGCGCTGCCACAAATCCGAAGCTTGGAGTCTAATTTTCCTCAATTAGTTGTCAAAGCTCACGTGCTGCTTTAACGTCGGAAGCAGTGATGCACACGAAAAGATGTTGTGGCCGTTTATATTAAAGCAAATTTCAGACTTTACAGGCTGTGAATCTTATCTTGAGTCCAACCACCGCCTCTTTCTGTTGCTTGAGTCCCGCTCGACGACCGCTTCAAATCAGGAGCGAAATACTAACTGAAGTTAATGACGGACTGTGCACATCGTTCATGCACATTACTTCTTGGCTGTACGTCGACATGACCAGGGCCAGATATTATCGCTGTGGCAACGTATGGTCTGTTGATTTTGTATGCCATGGGTAACTGACAAGTTTGTGGGTGTTTACCGATATGCTGTGATACAGTGCCAGCGATGGAACTTGTTTTGATTTCGTCAGCGTTTGAAGTCCGATGTATTGTTGATCCTATCATAAGGTCGACTGCAAATTTTAAAGCAAGATACTTACGTTGGAAGCTTCAAAATTATAACATTATAATTAAGAAGTATCTAGTACCGTAGAATTTCTGTCAAAGAATGAAGCCACAAACAAAGCAGTGGCTAACTGTTCTCAAAATCAGGCGAGTCCTAATCAGAGCTGTATATTGAGAACTTAGCAACTTCAGACTTCGTAACAGAATGGCTATTCGTTGTGTGTCGCACATAATGCAGTTATTGTCCACGTGCACTTACGCACAATACACCATTTTGGTTCCAGTTTCTTTCACTTTCACAGAATCACCACAGCACCACATTGAGTTCTGGAACAGGGCAACCGTATAATATAAAATAATTCAGCCGAAACAAAGCGTTTTCTGGAGATGATCCCTACAAAGAACTACCCACCACGCTCGCCGAAAAACACAACAAAAAGGTAATTTCACTTCTGACACATTTTGAGATTTGAATGAATATGAAGATGAACTAAGGAAACTGACCACCTGGAGCGACATTTGAGTCAGTAACCGTAACATGGGCTTTCTTTTATCAAGATTGTATCCAGTACAGGCATACCCGACGTCACAGACCTTATCCTATGACTCGGTAGCGTTTTCAGTAAACACACAAAATCATGCTGCGAAATGTACGCGTATCCATTTTGAAGCAGAACCCATATATCCCCCTGGTAAAGGCGTTGAGATTTGGTCAAGAAGCCTGACAAAATGACTAGTCACAACATATTTTCTGTATCTTTGCAAAACGAAAACTAACTGATGGTGATAGTGATGTGTCTTTGTTATGACATTGCTGATGTTGTTTACTCTGTTGCGTGGGGTGTAGCTATTTTAGGTTTTCCGGGAATCGGTAATTTTTTTGGACCCAATGTATTAATGACCTTAATTTATCTACAGTAGGCTAGATAACATTCATCATGGAGTGTAGGGTTGATAGAGTAAACATGTATGTGTACTACGTTTTCTGTATTAAAGGGAATTACAAATCGTCTGCAAAAAACATTCATGGGATTATAAACGTCTGCTCGCTTTTGGTCATGTTAAACGTGTGTGTCTCCATTTTATTATATACGTTTTGAAAAATCTTGTTTGGTTAATCTATACGTTTTTTGAAAATCTTGTTTAGCGAGGGTTAATTTTTCAAAGGCGTTTTTCCAGTGCTTATCCGAAACTTGAAAAAAGTCTTTTACATATTCTGTAGGTTCTTTTGTCACGTCTTGATAGCATACTGCGATTAAAGCCTTCAACAATTTACCTCTAGAGATCTTACCATCTAAAACTCGGTTTAACTTATATTCTACGGTACCCGCGTCGCCGTTCTCCATTTGAACGTTAAACTCTTTTAAAGTTTTCTCGATTTTGGTGGTGGTTTATTCCAAACCCCTCACGTTTTCTGGTGCGTATGAAGGAAATCACCCAAACACTAAACCACAATGTCGACATGCATATCTGTCATCTATTTCTACTATGTAGTGCTGGCACGTATTTTCTGGTTGTGGTGGTGGGGTTGAACATTTAGGCAACGAGCAGGTTAAATGATAAATCTCTGCGTCTGTCATTTGTTTTTAATAATAGTCTATTCATTGAAAGTAGTTAAGGCTCACGATTTGGGACCAGAAATTGCCCAAATTTATCATGAGATTCCCGAAGATATTGACGAGTGAACTCCCTTCCAGGAGCCACGGCAGTGCGCAAAATTGCCCACGTCCAGAGACGCCAGTGGCCTACTCCTCCCCTTCTCCCACCTCCCCTCTCTCAGCCTGAGTCCGGGGCAGCAGTTCGCCTGGGCGAAATATGGGCCGTAGTCCCTCTGCCTCGTGACGCAGGCCCTCCACCTCTCCTTCCAGTACCCCTCCCTGAGCCACATAGAATATTTTCATTGATTAATTTGTCAACAGTGTATATTTCCTTCCATGTATTGTACAATGTTCCTAAGTTTTGCTGCTGCTGTTTTTCTCTTCTGTTCACCCTACCTACTTCTTGTCGATTGTTAAAATTTCAACTGATAACAGTCGGTTATATTGTATCTCTTATTAATACATTCTTCTGTTTTTTCAATTATGTTAAAACAAATCTTTTATGTGTAAATATTCTAATTTCTTGTAACTTATTGTATTTTTGTTCATTTCAGTGGAATGAAATAAAGTTTCCATTTGAAAAGTCAAAAGTCTTCTTCGTCGTCTCTGTTTAAATCCACCTTTGCGTTTTCGTCGATCATTAGCCCTAATTTTTCCAACCTCTTGTCTAAATCTGTTTGGGGTTTAAAGTCGTCATCTGTAATAAATTTTAGTTTTTTATAATAACGATCATTTAAGTTGCCAATAAATATTAAAAAATCTTCGTGTCGCAGGCCTATACTATTTACGCAACGATAACAAAAATAGCAATCAAAGCATTCAATACATAGTTGACAAGCGTCACAATTATGGCAGCTTTCGCAAAATTGACAATATCTGCAGTTAAAACAATCTGGGCAATCAAAAAAATAATAGGCCTTGAAGCAATCTTCACATGAACCAATAAACTTTGAATTGTGGCAGTGTTTGCAATTAGAGCAGTCTATTAAGTTACGGCACGCCGTCACGTCTTTGCAAAAAAACGTTTTCTTTAGCTGTTTCTACAATTCTTTTTCTCACATTTTTAACATCTTTTCCAGGTTTGCTTTTTCATTTTTTCTCAAATCTTCATTATTTTCCAGGTCTGGTTTTTCATTTTTCTCAAATCTTCATTATTTTCCATGTCTGTTTTTATATTAGTTTCTAAAATATTTTTTTCCATTTTTTTCTCAAATCTTCATTGTTTTGCATTTCTAGTTTTTTAACAAATCTCCAAAACAAATTTTTAATTTTTTTCACCAATTTTCAAACTCGTCTTCATATTCAAATCCACTAAATGCTTGCAGCATAGATTTATTTGAAATAAGACCTTCATTTCTAATTTTCAACACAGCCGCCAATACTTTATACCTAACACTGGCACCACACGACATTGAACCGTGAGTACCCTGGTATACTTCTTTTGGGTGAATAAAAAATTGCGCGTCACATCTCTTATCGGAAAATTTTCGATATTTGACTAGTCAATAGGTCTTTTTCGGTTATCAAATTGGGAAGCATAGGGATCTAGTTTAACATACATTCGGTTCTTGGCCGTGTAAGGTGGTTTAACGACGTATTCGATCTTGTTCAAATCGTCAACATCGCGACTAGCTTTGTAGGCGTTTATGGTATTAGACGGAATGTTACACTTGGTGCCAGCTTGAGATTCGATAAACCTATGAACAGCTAAATTTGTGTGGTCGAGTATGTTTGCAGTAGGTTGCTCAATTTGGTAACAGATTTGGTGGCCCTTGATATTTTTGGGGGTTTTGTCTTTAGTACCGTATTTATCCAGCGGGTTCATACCGTAACAGGGTTCGATCATCATAATTAACAGGCTTTTTTCTCGGCCGTTGTGGTCATAAAAAATAGACAAGCAGCAGACAGTTGCATGTTTGTTGTCTTTAATCACCGGTTTTGAAATAATCAATTTACTCGGGTCAAAAGGACCAAAGGTGACGTTGGGATCGCAGTTGTCGGCATTGAGACGCTAGTGATCGTCGGTTACGATGTAGGTTTGGTTAGACATTGTTTTTATATATAGTCCGTTTATTTAAGGCGGTCGTAAACTGTGAGGAGTCATGAGTCGAGACTTGTAGCGACCGGGAAAGCGAGGGGAATCCCTGTTCGTGCAGTGCAAGAGCAGTACGGTTGGAAAAGCGAGGGGAAGTCCCTTTTTTGTTTGAGAGCCAAAATGTTTGTGAGGTAGAAACGTCGGGGCCAAAGGTCAAGGTGAGTGAAGTGGGAAACCCTGGCGCTGTGGGCGGTGGAGAGTGAGGAAACAGAGTGGAAGAGGAGGGTGCGCTTGAACTGGCAGTTTCCATACTTCTGGCTAAGTTACACCAAACATAATGTCTACTGCATGTGCTGTGTGTTAT